CCCCCCACCTTCAGGTTCACGATGACGTTCCTCATCGACTTCCAACAGTTCATGGGGAGCCGGCGGAACATCGTGCGCCTGTTGGACCGTCTGGGCGCTTACTTCAACGACAGTGGTGCCAAGTTCATCACCGTGCTGTCTGTGGCTCAGGGCTCCTTTGTCCTGTCCTGGACAAACCACACGCTCACCGGAGACGTCTGTCAGAGAGATGTGAGTGAGCTGACCGTTTAACACACTCATATACACATACACAATCATACATACACACAAATATACATACAAACACACACACACACATACACACACACACACACACACACACACACAGATACACACACACTCACACACACACACATACACAGATAGATAACCACACGCTCACTGGAGACGTGTGTCAGCGAGATGTGAGTGAGCTGACCGTTTAACACACTGATATACACGTACACAATCATACATACACACAAATATACACACAAATATACGCACAAACACACACCCATCACTTCGTTCTGTCCTGGACCAACCACACACTCACTGGGGACGTCTGTCAGAGAGATGTGAGTGAGCTGTCCGTTTTACACATAGACACATACACATATGCACATACACACACACGTACATACACATACACACACATACACACACATACATACACACAAATATACACTCAAATACACATACACACAAACACACATACACTTTATCCTGTCCTGGACCAACCACACGCTCACAGGGGACGTCTGTCAGAGAGATGAAAGATGACTGTTCTACACACATGCGTTCACATACATATACACACTCTCACACACTCCACACTCACCCACACATACAGCCACACGCTCACGGGGTACGTCTGTCAGAGATATGTGAGTGAGCTGTCCGTTTTACACACACACATACACGCTCACGCTCATACACACATATATACACGCAATATACACATACACATACATATACACAAACATACATACCCACATATACACACGATATACACACACACACATATTAACGTACGTACATACTCACACACGCTCATACATAAGCACACACACATACACACACACTAACAGACATACATACACACACTCTCTCTCTCTCTCACACCCACACACACACACATACCCTTTTTCCTGTCCTGGACCCACCACACGCTCACCGGGGACGTCTGTCAGAGAGATGTAAGATGACTGTGTTCTACACACATGCGTTCACATACACATACACACACATATATACACAATCTCACACACTCCACACTCACCCACACATACAGCCACACGCTCACGGGGTACGTCTGTCAGAGATATGTGAGTGAGCTGATCATTTAATACACTCAATATACACTTACACAAAAATACTTACACACAAATATACGCACAAACACACACACATACACTTTGTCCTATCCTGGATCAACCACACGCTCACTGGGGATTTGTGTCAGAGAGATGTGAGTGAACTGTCCGTTTTGCAAACTCACGAATACACACATACACACACACGCACTCATGCTCATACATACTCACATTTATACACAATATACACGTGCTAACATACATACATACTCACAAACACTCACACATACACACACGCACACTTTATCCTGTCCTGGACCAACCACACGCTCACTGGGGACGTCTGTCAGCAGAGAGATGTGAGTAAGCTGACCGTTTTACACGCACACACACGCTCATACATATTTACTTATACACACACACACACA